TTTAAAATCTAAGATGTCTGATATGAATATTAACCACTTACGTCTCGCACATCCGAAGATTTACTTATGTGCAAGTTCAAGTATTCAAAATATAAATATTTGTGCAGTATTATTACCTTCGAATCTCCGACAGAAAGTTCGCATGCGGCGTGCGGCGTTCGGGAAAAATATCGTTTTGTGCAATATTTTCGAGGAGCGCCGCAAAGGCCATAAAACTGACCTTTTATATAGCTCAATGGTTGTGGCACATGCTACGGTGGAGCCTCCTCCCAAACTGGCCGCCAGGTGCAGCACTAGTACGGGTGGATGCGAAAACTCGAACTTGAGCACTCTCATTTTTCTCTCTGTTAATAGAAACAAGTACAGAGGATCGTTTCTTTGGTGCTAATGTATCCAGAACGTTCTAAACTAATCACGTACAAGGGGTTTTAGTGGGTAACCCGGAGTATCTCTTCCCTGCGGAGTCCCACACTATCTCCGTCTTGTAGAGGTGTGCATAAAGCATTTCCCCTTAAAAAAAAAAGAAACAATATAATCGTGATTCCATCAGGCCGAAGAGGCAGGATTGAAGGTACGGCCTACTAGAAGCTATTTCGTGTTCTTCCATCTAGGTGGCCAACCAGCTAAACGAGTTCTCGCAGTAGAAAGAGTCTCTGCTTGGTATATGTAAGTCCGTTGTACCTCGAGAAATTAAGATCATACTTCACAGGATCACTTCTGTAGTTGATCTTGTACCCCTTGCACTCAGTGCGAGGGGAATGGGAAGTGGAGCTTTCTGAGTGGTTTTTCTAATCTTTATCAAACATAAATTTTCTTACAGTAGTAAGAGAACGATCAAATTGCATTCAGCAAAAGTACTTCTGTCTTAACATGTACACAGAGTTCTCATAATTTTTCGCGCACAGCTCGCTTCCCCTCTTTTTCGCCCGTATTTATAAATATTAATATTTATCAGAATTTGATTAGAATGCATGACACACTGCTGTCATTCTGACATCAGTTGATGTCCTATCGCGGACACAGTGGCCGTCTTTTCTCGTCTTCTTCGTCTTGGGAACCATCGCCGACCGGGGATACGTCGAAATATGTAAAAAATATATGCATGTCAAAAGTGTAAAAAGAAATAAATAAATAAGACGATGATACATAATAAATAACACAAATAATATATAGATACATGGTATACAAAAACCAATCCTTTCTTTAACACTTCCTCAGGAAGTTTATATAAAAGATATGTTAAACTTATAAAGGAAGTTTACTCCTATGAAATTATGCTTCGGAGAAAGTATCAAATAGATATAAACACATCTCCATGCCGTAGTCTAAATAAGTGACCTCTCGAGCATGAGGAACAGGGGCTGTTCCGTTCAGTCTGAATTAGACAGCTTAAGAGAGAACACGTAAAACCTTATAACATTCTAAATTCTTTGCATTAGAATTATTATACCTGTCTCCCATTAAAACCAATATGATATTACATCCTGAAAGGACACGTCGGATTATTGAATACGAACACGGGTCGATTCTCTCTGTCTTTAGACAGTTTCTTTGGTGATCAAAACGTTACTTATAAAGTACCGTTAATACTAAGTACCAATCATGGCTTGATCGCAGCATGCACAAGAGCAGATCATGAAGAGAGTTGCAGTTCCTGATTTCAGTGAACAGTCGTTGTCTCTCTTCGTCCCATGCCGTGCATCGGAACAGAGTGTGCAAGTTACAATCGCATGGATCACCGCAGTGATGGCAGATGGTGGAAGGTTCTTTTCTAATCCTATGTAGGTACTTTCCGAAGCAACCATGTCCGGAAAAGGACTGAGAAACATGAAACGTAAGTTTTCCATGTTTACGAGAGTACCATTCGTGAAAGTGTGGGAAGAATGCAGATACCATTGGATGCAAAACATAAGATGGAGAACACAGTCTTTCCTTCCATCTGGGAAGCATAATATTATGCCTTTCTCTTTTGAGAGCTAGCATATCAGCAGGACGGTGATTCCTGTCGCGCCTAAGTCTTTCGATCGCTCGGTATATTTCTGCGGAAACGGAGATTTGTATATCGGCAGGTATACTGCACGCGAGCAGAAGAACAGAGTTGAGGGCAACAGTTTTGTAGCAGCATACAATTCTATTGCACATTTTTCTTTGGCTATTCAGAATTTTTTTAATTAGGCATTTATCCTTTATGACGGTATCCCCCCATACAGGGACACCGTACAGAATTATGCTATTGGAGGTATTTGCATATAGCCTTCTAATAGATTCAGATGGACCTCCGATGTTGGGAAGGATTCTACTTATATTATTTACGTATCCTAGCGATTGAGCTACCAAGGCATCAACATGTTGAACAAAGCTGAGTTTGCGGTCAATTATTACACCTAAATACTTAAAATAGTCGACAAAAGGAATTTTGTCTTTATCAGCATGTATAAAATTGTTTAACTGGTCTATTTTAAAACGTTTTTTGGAATAGCAAACAACAGCCGTTTTTTGTGTTGCAACACTGAATCCTAGACTTCTAATCTTATTGAAAATTATCTGCGTGGCTATTGATGCCTTCCTACGGCATGCAGATAAATCGTCAGCAGTGATTAAGATTATAATATCATCTGCATATCCGGTAATCTCGACACCACTAGGTAGCACAGTTTTTAAAATAGAGTCAGAACCGATATTATATATAGATGCAGCTAAGACTTAATTTTGAAACACTTGAAGAATTTGTGACGGGTGGATCGGCCGCCCACGGATAGTTGTCGTGGTTGCCGTTTACTCGTTCGTTTGCTTAGTCCGAGTCTAGCATCGACCTCATTCCTGACTACATGGGCCCCTCCGTTGAATGGATGCATTCAATGTCGAAGGGATGAAAACATGCGAAGCTACGCGTGCGTTTGGATATGGGTATTCGCGTCTACAGTTATTCGCATGTGAGGAGTTTGAGCTACTTCCAATTTAACGCGCGTAACCCGGATCGGCGCGTTAGATACGAACGCTGATTGGTTACGCGGTCTGCGGTTAGTTAAGACTAAGGAGAAGGTCGAGAAATAATGTCGGAGACGTAGAAATCTGGTAAAAGTAGGTTTTATTGTAACTATACTTAAAATTGGCTATTTACAATGGTCGGCCGGCGGCGCTGCTGTAGGCGCAGTGCTGGCGGTCGCGGTTCCATTTTTTTATGCACGATTCTGATAGATTACCATGATTTACTATGATCTGTAAAGAAAATGTATCTTGTAATGTATGTTTCGATACTTATGATGTGTTACGTAATGGTTACTGAAGAAGGGCAAATCATTTTACTGAAATATCGTTCCATTTCTAGCTGAATTTATCACTGGACGAACACATTTCACAAATAGTTGAAGTAAGTGCGATGAACGAGACACACAAATCTACTGAAATGGGCATGTGATTTGTATATGTAGTTACCTGTGTATCCCCACGGAGAACATTTAATTCCCCAAGAAAAATAGTGTTAGGGATAGGCGGCCCTAACGCGGTTCGGCTGATGGAGAACGGGTGATTTGAATAAATAATCTGATGTATATACTCCACTTGCACGTTGCTGAGTTGATTCAGCGTGCGACTTACGAAGTTAACGTAAGCCCTTATTCAACTGTAATTTTACAGAGATCGCGATCGCAGTCGTCTCCACAAGCGGGAGCAAGAAAGCCGGCGCCGTCGATAAATCGCCGCCCAGGAATCGGAGATCGAGGAAGGACTCACGGACGCGCTAATTCCCGGAAACACCCCTCGAGGATCACTCAGTCGACAGGCTACAGCGATCATCTGAATTAAAATAAATCAGGTTTTTTCCAACCTCAGAAATTACCAGTTCAGATCAAGACAAAAGATATAATTGAGGGTAAATGTAAAGTACCCGAAACGTTGATTACATTTTGTGAAAAACTAATTTCAGTCTTAAATTACTCCGAAGATAAAGATAATCTTTTAGTCTTTGTATGTCGTCTTCGTCGGTAACTGTCTAACTTCGTCAATAACTTTCAGCACTAGCCGCTCTGTGGCACACACAATACTGCAAGATAACGGGATGGACTCGTATCATTAAATACGAGTGCACACATAGAGATAATATAAATAGAGGAGGGGAGCCATAGGAATCTCTGTAAGCGGAAAGATCCGGCGAGTAGAGAGAGAGAAAGAATTTGTGGCACTATCTGTTCTTCTCTAATGGCGCATGCGCACTGCTCAGTAGCAGCAGCAGGGACAACAAATTATTTATCTCATTGTACAGAATTATATAGACAAACGATTAAAACACGTAAGTGACAAATTAAGCGACATAAAGTATCGAATAAGAGCACTGTACAATAAACTAACTATTTTTAAGGACGAATAATCGTTAGGATACATTTTGCATATTTTGTTTCGTACAAATATTTTTATATATGTTTATGTTTATAGATGAATGTAATGCGCATGTATCATTAGACAAGGATAGATAGTGCCACAAATTTGTTCTCTCTTTCTAGAGG